AATACATCTAAATATGTCAGTTTAACTTGCATCTTGTTATGATATTCTTGCAATTAATACTATTATAATAATCTCACAATTTTTTGAATTACGATTCGCATATTTTAACGTTTCTAAAGAAACAAATTTGTGTCATTTATTAATAATTCTGAATTGGAATTCCCCAGAACTCATTATATGTTGATGTCGAAGGGGCCCAATTTACATAAAAATTCCATTTAAACATTAACTTTTAGCTTCTCCATTTATCATACATATATTAGGAGAATTTCAGTATTTACGTAAAATTAGGTCATTATTTTCTTTTATTGTAATAACATTGAAGTATCTTTCTTTTTAGATTTATATTTAATAGTTTATTAACATATATATTTTAGTTATTTTGCCATTGTTTTATCTTACGTATTTTTTTATTATTTTGCTAAAATTTATGTTATCTTTATATCAGCGTATATATAATTCCAAATAAACGTATAAATAATATAATCAGTTTCAAAAATTTCCGTTAATTTAATTTATTTTTTAATTATAATTAAAATTAATTTAAACAGTTAAATTTACTCAATTAACCTAACGTATTGAAAATATTTCTAGTTAAAAAAAGAAATATAGATATATTCTTTAATATTTTACATTAACCAATTTATCAATCAAACCACTTTGATAGCGTCGTTGTTGGCATTTGGTTGTGCTTTTGACGTTAAAAAGGGTGTAAAACAAAAGGCTACTTTTAACTCCCGCGTCGTTTTTTTTGAACCGTGTGTCGATAACCCTTTTAAATAGCCCTTTAAATATAACTCGAAATGGAAAGCCATTATTTGACAACTTTCATTTTTTGTTGTGATTATGTTTGGTTAATTGTATAATGAATAAAATATTTTATTTATGATATGCTTGTTTTTTTTTAAGTTTTTAGTTATATTATAGTTTAAAATTTTTCTATGGTTTTGAATAAGTAATTTTTTTACATTTTTTATTTTGTATTATATCTGCATGAGAATGAGTTCAAAGCATTTTAATTAATAAAATCATGTGTAATCTAGGGAATTTTGGATGGAAACCTATATCTTTTAAGCTGTAGGAGCTACTGCTGAATTATATATCATATTCAAACATAAAAAGGGTTACGTTGTATCCGCCCTGTTTTTGCGTATTGATTTTTACTTAGTCCTATTTTTTTATAATATCTAAGTAGATAGTGCCATTTCGATGACGTATGTCTTATTTAAATTAGGAAGTTCTTTAAGTTACGTATGCTTTACATTTTTAAAACTTATTATTATCTTTTTATGACAAAACTTTTATATATTTTTCTGTTTTTTGACCAGGAGTGTTTGATTGGTAGATGATAAATTAATACTCTATTTGGTTTATTGATATACATTTATAGGAATGAAAATGGAAGATTCGAGTTTGTGGAAGTGAGATTGGAAGTGATAATTGTCCCTTTTTGCAATAGATTTAGCCAATTTATATCTCAAAATATCCATATATTCTATATTTATGTCAGGATCAGTTTATTTTGTATGACCAGATATTTTACTTATGTCATCCATAACTTGACACTTTCATATTAACTTTGATATAAATGGATTACAAATCTAGGTTATATTTTCCAATGCTGAATTCATAGATAAATGCAATAAGTTTAGATTGGAAAGCCCGTGAAAATTTTGGGTCGCAAAATTATTTTGGGTCGCGACCGTTATATGCGATCTAGCGCTGCTATAGCGGTCGCCTCTGGCGGTCGCTAAGAACAACGACAAACAAAAACAGAAATAATTTTCTCTTGTCAAAGTCAGAATCTTCAAAAATCCTAAAATCTTTCAAAATCTAAACCGCTCTCATTAAAGAAATTCCGAAAAGTGTTTATAACGTCCATTTTCAAAGTAATTATTGCTATCTTGTGAGTTTAATTCAAGTTTTAATTACTCCAACTGGTGATAATTGTGAAAAAGTGGGACTAAAAACTTAAAAAGCTGTGCTGTGAACTGTGAACTGCAAAAACCATCGTGGATCATGGCATAACGTCGGTTTCCAATGTTTCATAGGTATTTCATACATATCCTTATATAAAATAAAGTTTCTTGTATGCAACACACTCTATTTTATTTATGAAATTAAAAGCAAATAATAATAAATTTGAATAAACAATATTTGGCGATATAATTCCGGAAAAAGCTTTACATTTTTAAAACTTATTATTATCTTTTTATGACAAAACTTTTATATATTTTTCTGTTTTTTGACCAGGAGTGTTTGATTGGTAGATGATAAATTAATACTCTATTTGGTTTATTGATATACATTTATAGGAATGAAAATGGAAGATTCGAGTTTGTGGAAGTGAACAATGAATATACTTAAGTGCCTGTTTGGACATATTAATGTTTGAACCCTATTAGACATACCTATGTATTTCACGTTGTCATGTAAAAATTGCCGTTATATTGATTATTATACCCAATGTAAAGTTATATAGTTATACAGGGTCCGGCAATAGTGCGTCGGGCATCTGTAGCTCTCGGGAATTTTATTTAAGCGTAAACCTAAAGTATGTATGAGGATGTATTTCAGGAAAATATTTTAACTTCTATAGAGTGGCTCAAAAAAGTGTAAGTGGATCGTGATGATTCTTTTTTAAATAAAACACCCTGGGTAATATTGAATTTTTGGCTTCCTATCAGATCATTTTACATAATCCTATAATACGAGTAAATTATATATTTCGATAGTTTAAGAGATAGTAATAAATCAATAAAAATATATATTTTTCAATCTTCAATAAAAAAAAAATATTATAGATACAAGAACTGTCCTGAAATCAAAACTATATTAGGTATTTACTTTAGATGGTTTATACTTACTTTGCTATAAATATCGTAATCTTAAATCATACAGGATGTTCAAAATTCTACGCCGAACTTTCTAAAATATGAAATAATTTTTTTTTCAAATGGAACATCCTGTATATTATTTTTTTTTATTAGGTGTAGAATTAAAAAATGAATTTTTTTTGTATTTAAAGTATTTCAAAATTTTTAATGGTTTCGCAGATACAGGCAGTATTATTTCATATGGCTCTCTCAATGGTTAAATACGAGAGGAAAAGCTTTGATAAAAATTTACTGTGGAAAATGCCATTGAAATATAAAACCCCGAATATCTACAAAACCGTTAAAAATTTTGAAATACTCTAACCAAGAAGATCCACTCACACTTTTTTAAGCCCCCAATAGAAGTTAAGAAGAAGCTACTATTTTTTATAGCACCATAAATATCTTCTCTTTCTCAGGCTGGTTCCATCCAGTGTTGGATATCGGCCTCTTCTAGGTTTTTCCATGCTTCACGATCTCTAGCCAATCTTATCCATTGTCTTCCTGCCACTGTTCTGACGTTATCGACCCATCTCTTTTTTGGTCGGTCCACATTTTTTGTTGTTTCCCTAGGTCTCCATAGAATGACTTTTTGGGGCTATCGGTCTGGATCCTGTCTTGCCACATGTCCCATCCATTGCCACTTCAGACTTGCCACTCAGAGTGGTAAGTTACCATAAATATATTCTTCAATTATTGTAGGTGCATATTCCCAAATTTTCAAATTTATATTCCCAAATGTGAACATATTTTTCTTAATGTATGTAAGTATAGTGGGCTATGTGTGATCATCACAGGAGAAGTTCTCAAACATGTACTTGTAAGGATTGTGCCTGATAGTTCGAATGTAGCAAAAATTATTATATCCCAAAATCTGACAAACCACCATATGACATTAAGTCTTAATGACCAGTATTTTGTTACTCATTATGTCAAGATTTGTTAATAATTTTAGTTGATGCAAAAAAAAATAGCATGTTCTCTTCGGAGTAATAATGACTATTAGTGCCTTGCCTTTAATGTGAAACGTACAGCCTCGCCAAAGAAAGTATCATTTTTACTCCTAATAAAATAATGTACTATTTATCGATTTTTAAATTTTTAAATCAATTTAAAAATCATTTTTATTCAATAAAAATAGTTATTTTTTATACGATAAATAAAAATAAGACGATAAAATGGTATTTTATCGTCGACCGAAAAGATTAATTTCGAGAGACGATAATGCAATTTTATCGTCATGTATAAAACAATATATTTTTCCATAGCGAGTTACGTTTTAAAAAATATTCAGAAATTATTATTTCAAGGAATTTATTACGAGTAGAAAAAAATATTGTGCTGGGTTGGCGTTGGTTTCTATGTAATTTGACAAATAAATAAAGCTGTCTTTAGTTGTCAGTTTTGAGTCAATATTTTTTAATTCCCCTTCGTGTCGATTGCTGATTGAATTGGAGCCAGAAATGGCTCAAAACGAAATAAGTAAATTACCAACAGATATTCAGGCTGAGGCGATAAACGCCATATCCAAACTACTTCCATTTAAATCCCGAATAACTTATGAAAAGGAATACAAAAATTTTCAAAAATAGAAGCAATTAAAAAACGTGCGAGAAGAAATAAAGTTTTTAACCTATCCTCCCTGTTAAACTATCATTTAATCTACCTTTGAGGTTAAAGAACTATTTTATCTACTATTTTTGATAGATATAAGGCAATTTTAACAGTTGCTATGGAAAAAAATAAATTACAACGTTTTTAAGGCCAACTGGCAGTAAGCGTTATTAAGAAACCAAGAATAGTACGACCGGCGACCCCAGGTAAATTACGTTTAGGGCTTGACTTCGCCAAAATTATCATTAAATGTCATTCTCTAGTCGTTTCTGATGCCGTTTTTTTAGATTATATGGTACTGATGTTTTTTTAGAGGTTTTTACGAGTAAAAAAAAATGTTGGTTGGTCATGATCATATTTCATAGTTTTAACACCGTCTAAAAATGCTTTATACGGTGGTTTTAATATTCTACACAGAGCAACCAAAACATCTAATTTATAGTTTTCTCATGTCTTTCAGAGGAAGATGATGCAAGCGCGGCAGCCTGACCAGTACGGCGCGGGATGAAGGCGAGCACCGCGTCGCCAGTCCCGCGCCGCCCCCCGCCCCGGCTTCAGCACGGCTAGCGGCCGAGAGTCGCCCGCCTCGATGGAGGAGCGCGACGGGGGCGGCGGCAGCGGTGCGGACGGGGCGGAGGGGTACGCCGCTGCCGCCACCGCCGCCGTGCGCTGGGACGAGTCGGCGGCCGCGCTGCCAGCACCCGGTCCGTCGCCGCCGCCCCTGGTCGACGCGGAGGGCCAGCCGATGTCGCCCCCGGTACCGCCGCCCCTGCCGCTCCAGATGCAACGGCCGTACTCGAGGAGCATGTCCTCGCTGCCGCCAGAGCCGTTCATGATTATGCGCTCCAAGGTGAGTACATTTATGATGGTGATTACAATAAATCCACAATTTGTTAATCTAGTAATAATAATAATAGCGTCTTTATTAATATTAAAAAGAAATGTGTACAGACAATTCAAAGAGATGGCGGCATTCATTTACAGTGCTTTTCCACGCATCGGTTGAACCCAAAAGATGCAAAAGACATATTGACGTGTTACAGAAAGAAAATTTAACATATAGGATCCGGCAATAGTGCGTCGGGCATCTGTAGCTCCTAGAATAAAGAACTTAAGATTTTTTTTTAAGTGCAAATCTAAAGTATGTTCTAGGATGTATTCCTTGTGTATTAAATATTTTAACTTCTATAGGGTGGCTCAAAAAAGGGTGAGTGGATCTGGATGAATTTTTTTTATATGGAACACCCTGTATATTATTGCATTTTTGACTTCTTTTCAGATCACTTTTTTTAAGATATGAGTATATGTATTTCGATAGTTCCACAGATATGAATAAATAAATAAAAAATATATATTTTTCAGCTTTTCTTAAAAAAAAATTATTAAAAATACAGAAATGTCCTGAAATCAAAACTATATTAGATATTTACTTTAGATGGTCTGTACGTACCTGCTACAAGTATGGTAATCGTATATCATACAAGATGTTCAAAATTTTACGCCAAACTATCTAAAATATAAAAAAAAAATTCTTCGGTTTTTTTAAATGAAACACCCTGTATATTATTTTTTTAATAGATGGAGAATTAAAAAATGAACATTTTTTGTATTTAGAGTATTTCAAAATTTTTACGGGTTTTGCAGATATTCGCGGTTTTATATTTCATATGGCATTTTCCATAGTAAATTTTTATCAAAGCCACCCAATGATTTTTCTCTCGTATTTTACCGTTGAGAGAGCCATATGAAATAATACTGTGTGTAACTGCGAAACCATTAAAAATTGGGAAATACTTTAAATACAAAAAACGTTAATTTTTTAATTATCCATCTAATAAAAAATAATATACAGGGTGTTCCATTAACAAAAAACAAAGAATTTTTTTTTATATTTTAGAAAGTTTAGCGTAGGATTTTGAACATCCTGTATGATTTAAGATTACGATATTTATAGCGAAGTTAAGTATATACCATCTAATGTAAACTAATATAGTTTTGATTTCAGGACAGTTCTTGTATTTGTAATATTTTTTTTAATGAAGGTTGAAAAGTATAAATTTTTTATTTATTTATTAATATCTCTGAAACTATTGAAATATATTTATTCATACCTTAGGATTATGTACAATGATCTGAAAGGAAGCCAAAAATGTAATAATATACAGGGTATTCCATTTAAAAAAAAATCATCCCAATCCACTCGCACTTTTTTGAGACACCCTATAGAAGTTGAATCATTTTCCTAAAATACATCCTTGTACATACTTTAGGTTTACACTTAAACAAAATTCCCAAGTTTTTTATTCTAGGAGCTACAGATGCCCGACGCACTACTGCCGGACCCTGTATAATCTTTCAGATCAATTGACAATATAAATAATAAATTAAAATTTACTTAATTCTATATACAATAATTTCCAATACGAATATCATGCAAGCACAGGAAAACAAAAAATATTTTAAATTGTACGTGTGAATTCAAACAAGGCAACGACTTGATTGATTTTCGTGAATATTCTGGATTTAAGTAAGTTGAGGTCATATTTTTTATTATTTTTTTCCAGTAAAATTATAAAATGTAGTCCAACTATTAGGCTTTTTTCAGGACTCTTTCTTACATCATCTTTTTTCCTTTTCTTCATTACTACACTAATTTTAATGCCATACTCACCAGAATTATTAGTACACAGGCATATTATGATTAGTACCTTAACATTAGGGAATATATTACTGTCTTATTCATGCTCGCTACTAACTTTAACATTATAGAATTTTATGTCGTAGCGTATCGAATTACTAGAGGTTAACTTGCTTGCTAATATTAAACCGCATCGCGCCTCAATAGATGACGTGTATTGAGTAATCAGAGTTTGATTGCAGATCACTAATCGTACACGATCGGGACAGGTAGGACAACGAGAGCGGTAAATTTGCATTTCATTGAACATTATGCATTTTGCAACGCCTAATTCACATTACATGCAACGCATTAGCAAGTAACAATCTACGTAGGCAATTTTTTTAAACAAACATTTTCAGATTTAAAGGATTCTTGAGATTCTTATTTAAAAAAGTCTAGCAGTTACTCGAACCTGCTTGCTCAAACCAAAATGTTTTCCCCCGAAGCTGACTGAAAATTTTTCTTGTCACATCGAACTATGTACGCGCATAAAATCTAGTATGCGCTAATTTAGTTAGCAAATATATGGAATTTTATGTTAGTATCACATATGATATTTGATAATAAGCTTCATAAATTTTAAATTAATTAACGTTCGGGTTTATTTTGATACCTCGAACGGACGAAGCACTCTTGTATAGGGGTAAATTGTGTCCAATGAACTTATTTTGATTCCAAAAATACGTAGTAGTCCTACGTCGACGGAATATTGGGACACCCTGTATATTAAAAATAAAGAAAATTTACAGTACCAAAAAAACTAAAAAATATCTTGCTAAATAACAAATTATGCGATACTCTTCTTGCGCAAGGCATTTTTGTCATTAGCTTTCCATACATCAGGAGACCCGACCTGCGGACCCGGCCTGTCGATTAGATCTTTACCCCATTATGTATTCTCGTTTGGGGCAAACATCTACCTTATACAGTAGTTTTTATACCGGGTGAATCTCAAAAGTGGCTCACCCCAATAACTTTTTTATTTTTTTAGATTACAGAACGAGATTTGGCATGTTAATATATGATATAAATTAGGATTGACTGACGTATTCAATGGTTTTCGGTCACTTTTCCTGTTTCACTGGAAATTACTACAACTTTTGATTTTCAAATGGCACCCTCGGTATTTAGTTACTTTATTAGATTGGAAATGACATTCTGAATAGAATGACATATCATTTGTCAACTATTGACATTTTCGAATATGGTTTATTTGAAATTGCAACATGCGTTTCATAACGACAAGTTCACTCGAAATACCAAGTGTGTGGTATCAAATTATTCGTAAAAATGTATTTTCAAAATATGCTAATGAGCCACCCTCGTTCCATTTGAAAAAATTGAGATAAGATTAAAAATACGATTTGGGCATCTTTAACAGCGCTTTCAGATGGAGCGGACCGTCGGCGTCGGCGCGGACCGTCCGTGACTTCGAGCAAGTATTATGAGTTTGTATGAACAACATCCGGACGGAGCATACGCGATCCATGTGAAATTGTTCATATAAACTCATGATACTTGCCCGAAGTTGCGGACGGTCCGCTCCATCTGTAAGCGCTGGTAACCGTCCAGGACAAGACACTAAAAACATTTGACGATTAAACCTATTTTTCCAAGGCTTCTTGATTAAAAATTAGTGTTTTTAACACAGCCATGACACTCTAGATTGAAATTTAAAATACAATTTTCTTAAGCGAAAATGTCAAAAGACTGGGGTGAGCCACTTTTAAGAGTCGCACCAGGTATAGATAAATGTTTATCGGAATAAAAATTGCCGTTTAGAAAGAAACAGCGTTACAAGTCTGCTGACTTCATCCGTTTCGTTTGTTTTTTCAAACCAATCTAATCTGACAGATCAAGTTTGCGGATTTGGCCTGCGACAGGCTTGGTCTGCCACAGACTTGTTCTGTCCCACAAACTTAAAGTTTTTATCCGCAGACCAAATCTTCTGGTGCATGGGAGCTATTGAAGATAGTAATTTGACTGATTAAAGGTTGATTCTCACTATATCTTCCGTTTCTATTCCATATTCATTCCATATCCGTTCCGTATTTTTTATTGTATTGACGCTATACGTAAGTTTCCGTTCCGTATCAGTTCCATACTTTTTATTGTACCATTATTTATATTATTACGAAAGTTTTATTTTGCAAAAATTGGTATCTTTTGAAAAAGGTAGTAGATTTAATTAACAGGTGAAAGAATAACTAAATATCAGTAAAATGTTAACAGAGCTAGTACACATGTAAGAACGGGACAACGCTGTTTCCGATACGCTTCAGTCCGTCCGCCAAAAAAATGTATGGAAGGAAAGGATATGGAACGGAAGGGAAACGGAACAGATAGTGTGCATTGTCCTATTTATTTACATGATATAATATTTTATGTAAACGGAAGGTAGCTGATACGGAAGGTATAGTGAGAATCAACCTTAATACTGTTGTTTTAGGCCCTGAACAGGCGCGTAGTCATCAACGTCGGCGGCGTGAAACACGAGGTGCTTTGGCGAACTTTGGACCGTTTGCCGCATACCCGGCTGGGCAGACTGCGCGACTGCAACACCCACGAGGCTCTCAGCGAGTTGTGCGACGATTACTCACTGATCGACAACGAGTACTTCTTCGATCGGCATCCGAAGTCCTTTTCGTCGATTCTGAATTTTTACAGAACGGGGAAACTGCATCTGGTGGACGAAATGTGCGTGCTGGCTTTCAGTGACGATCTAGAATACTGGGGGGTAAGTTTTCAAAAAATTGGTTACGTTTTTAGAGTCTCTCTTTTAAGCCGGGCTCAAACGACTCGTGTACTTAATAACGCTAGTAATCGTATGATATGAGTAACTTGAGTATAGGCAAGCTTAGCGTTCACGCGATCTGTCCATTTCGACGAGTATGCCAGCACGAACATCCTTGAGAAGTAAACAGTACTTTTTTTCTTTTTCAGTTTTTGTTCTTGTACCGTATGATCGAAAAAAGACGGTATTCCTATTGCGAAATGACGATCGATGACATTTCCCATATATACTTACATATAACATGACAGCGCCATTTTTTTTCGATCAATGGTATAGTACCCTGGATGATTTTGTATATTTTGAAAATTATTATTATAATTTTCGAAAAATATTCATGAGTAAGAAAAAAGTTTCGAATCTAATTTAACTTCGCATTGAAATTCGGTAAGAAAATTTTACAAGAAATTTTGTTTAAGTTCTTTTAAAAATTATAATTTTTGAATTTTGACAATGACTTTTTTCCTTTGACAAGATACCAGCAAAGCGATTAGATTTTTACAAATTGTAAGTTTTGGGTTCGTTGAAGGACTATTAGAGAGCTACACTTTAAAAATAATTTTACAAGATACAGGGTGTCCCAAATAAATAAAAAATATCAAAATTGTATTTTTTTAAACCTGTATATTATTAAATTTTTAGTTTCTGCGATTAAAATAACGGTAAATTTGATTAAGGTTTATCACACTTAAACATTACCGTTTTTGAAATATTTTCCATTTTGTGAAATTGCAGTAAATTTTTAAGGCTTCATTTCTCTAAGTGGATCAAAGTTTTTAATACTAAATAATATTTACTGAAGTTTATTGATTGTGTTGTAATAATAAAAATAATACTACCTAATACAGAGTGTCTAAAATTTATTTTAAATAATTTCTAGCTTGAAACAGCAATAACTTGTTTAATTTAAATGGAACATCCTGTATATTTTAGGAGAATCAGATGCACAATTTAATTGTCCATCAAATTGTATTATATAATTTTTTACCTATTCCTTCATAGAAAATGCATTTTCTAATAGTTTACCTCATTTATCAATATACCCATGGAATATTGCCATTTTAGATTGTTTCTAGAGCAACAAATGTACAAAATGTACAGGTGCTAAAAACGATAATATTACTAGCACATTTGTATACAAAAATAAAACTATTTAAATCTTTATAAAAGAGTATACCATTAAATAAACATACCACCATTATTTCCGTCCAAATATTAATAAATAACATATTTAATTGTGTTAGTTAATAAATTATTCTAAATAAATGTGGATTTGAATCAGAAATCAATATAATAACAAGTTATGAAAATGAACGTCTCTGTTGTTATAAATAAGAATTCGTGAAAAAAAAAAGAAATACAATTTTTAAGGTGTTTCTTTTTACCACACTGTCTAATACACATACAAAATTCAGTTTTTTAGTATTTAGAGCAATTATTATTGATCAACGCAAACAGTCAATTAATGTAGTTTGAATACTAGAATTATAATAATTGATCCTCTTTAACGAATATTTAAACAGTTTTTTATTTTTTTAATTAAATAAACGAACTATATCGACAACATTAGTATCAGTACTCTTTAAAAATTTGTTACATCTTTAAAAATAATCTAAAATGCCAATATTCCATGGGTATATTGATAAATGAGGTCTAAATTATTAAAATGGTATAATACAATTTGATAGACAATTAAATTGTGCATCTGATTCTCATAAAATATATAGGGTGGTCTACTTAAATTAAACAAGTTATTGCCGTTAAAAGCTAGTAATTAATTAAAATAAATTTTTAGACATTCTGTATAAGGTAGTACAATTTTTATTATTGCAATACAAAATGTAGTAAATAGGAATACTTCAGTAAAATATTTAGTTTGCTTACCAACTAAAAACTTAAATATGCCTAGAGAAATGAAGCATTAAAATTATTACTGCATTTTGACACAAACCTAAACATTTCAAAAACGGTAAGATTAAAATGCGGTGAACCTTAATCAAATTTACCTTTATTTTAATCGTAGAAACCAAAAATGTAATAATATACAGGGTGTTCCATTTAAAAAAACACAACTTTGATATTTTTTATTTGTTTGGGACACTCTGTATCTTATAAACATATTTTTAAATTGTAGCTCTAATAGTCCTTCAACGAACCCAAAACTTACAATTTGCAAAAATCTAATCGGTTAGCTACAATATTCCGTGTCGTATGTGGTGAACAACCCTGTATATTGTTGAGAAAGAGAAAAGAGGGAAGATTTTTTTGCAAGGTAGCCAACACAATACATGTCTAGAATGGTGAAGAAATTCACCAGGACAGAGACAGGCGAGAAACTTCATAGTACACATTCGCTAAAATTCTTGACCTTATACAAGCAAAGACAGAAAGACAGTCAAAGCTGTAGTGGGTCTACTAACAGAGCATTGTAAGTTGAATAGACATCTAAAGCTAATGGGATTGGCGGACGAAGCCATGTGCAGGTTCTGTTAATGTAAAGAAGAAACCACAGAACACATTTCATGTCTGTGCGACAGCCTGGCAAATGTGCGATTCTCGGTAATACGCAATTATAGGCCATTGATAGAGAGTAGGGTGTCCGTTATTTACCAAGTTGATCATTGCGCCCTCTAAATTTTTAGTTTATTATCTAAAAAAAATAACAGACCATTGTAAACTCTTAATATTCATATAGAATAAATCTTGCCCCAAAGACGATTCATTTCGGATTTAAATAACATGGGAATTTGCCACTTTTGGCAAATAATTTTTTTTCTCCATCTTGTCCTCTCGCAGCCATGACAATACACATATTCTTGTACAGAATTGAACTCTCTACAAAAAAGGTCTCTTACATTTTTTCTATAAACCTACTCTTTCAAAAGTTATTCACGGTTAATATTAACCACTCGGTAAATTCCTAAATTCTTCAACTTTTTTGACAAATCAAAATACATCATAGGCGTATTTTGATTGCGTTGGCTAGTCTCTGGGGTAATTTTTTTTGTTTATAGATGTAATACGCGAAATACCCGACCGATTTTGTAGAACTTCGTACGTTTTTGAAATTTAGGTTAAATTATGCTACTATTATTTAAGAACTTACTCTCGAAAGTTACAAGTTTATAATAAAAGGCAAAAAAATAACCTACGATTTAAATTTGGCGGGAATCGTTGGAAAATGATCCGGAACTTCGGCCGCCATTGGAACTGTGGGTTGGAAGTTGGAGAGGTGCACGGTCCGGCTAGACGCCAGTGACTAGTCGAGCTACTAAATGCGTTGAAGTGCGCTTGCGTAGAAAATATCCGTATGTTGGCAAGAATGTTTGTAAAAATAAATTCAAATCGTCAACTCAATATAAAAAAAAATAAAAATAACAGAAATTTACCGAACTTTAGTTAATTAATATAAATTTATTAACGAAATATTAGTTAATTAAGTACTGCAAAAGAATACAAGCTCAAAAATAATAAGTGTTAGAATTAACTACCTGTCGTGCATTCATTTGTTTTCCATTGTTCAAAATTGTTTATCATGGTATCATGAAAGTTGCTTTTTTTTTCAAATAATAGATTAAGTCTTTCAAAAATAATCATAATTTTGTCAAAAAAGTTGAAAAATTTAGGAATTTTCCGAGTGTAACTTTAACCGTGAATAACTTTTGAAGGAGTAGATTTATCGAAAAATTGCAAGAGACCCGTTTTGTAGAGCGCCCAATTCTGTATGTGATGAACACACAAACTTGTTCAACAACAATGTTCAGAACATGTGATTGTCATGGCTGCGAGAGAGCAAGATCGAGAGAAAAAAAATTATTTGCAAAAAGTGGCAAATTCCCATGTAATTTAAATGGAAAATGAATCGTCTTTGGGGCAAGGTTTATTGTGTATATTGTCAAGACTTAAATATAGGCCAACTTGGGTTTACATCAGATTGGGAAAAATCATGTAAAATATAATTCTAGTAAACCAATTTGATGTAGATTCAAGGGAATCGTTCGCGTATACGTCGACCTGAATATGTTCTTATAATAAACATTATTAATTAAACAATTAAAATCAGGTCGATGTGAGCGTGATGTTCCAGGGCTAGCTCGTACTAAATATCGGTGCTGGAAATATACAAAGGAGATTTTTGAGCACGTACCCGCCGATAATTGGGACGAGCGGAAAAATATAAGATAGTGTGCTGAAGACAGGGGAGTTGGTTAGTCCATCGATGTGAGTCGTATTATACAGTCAGTAATTCGCGTTATCAGTCCGTTAGTAGAAGACAGCGCAGACTGAAGATGTTCCTGTAAGTACTTAGTTAACTAAACCATTAAGTCTTGGCATTCCCCAAAATTGTATTATACTGTGAACTTGTTATGTTAAATAAATGTGTATTGTGTTCAATGGTTGTTTTGATTGAGAGAGAGAACCTGGTATAGCGACCCTAGCAAACAACCCCCAGCTAGGTCGCGACAATATTAAGGGTTTACAATGGTCTGTTATTTTTTTCTAGACAATAAACTAAAAATTTAGATGGCGTCGTGAGAGAGATGATCAACTTGGTAAATAACGGACACCCTAATACAGAGTGATATGGAAGGTTCAGTCTCCAAGTTGCTAGATTTTTTAAAAAGGATGGGACTGGAGAATGTAACCTAAGGATCAGAACTAGACCACAATAGACCTGAAAAGGCGCATTGGTGGACCAGGCCGACGGCTGCCTCAAAGAATCAAGTCTAATCTAGCAAATAGAAATTGGTAAAAAAGAGTAAATTTACAGAAATAAAAATATAATTTGCTGAAAATATTTCACAATATTGAATGACGCTCTACGCTTTCGTAATATCCTGTATAAATTAGACACCAATTTATCTTTGAGTAGGAATGAGAACATTTTGGTAATAATATAATGTTTAAACTCTATATTGAAATTAAAATTTATTTTTAAACCAGCT